GATGACACAGAGCACGCCCGGGATGACACAGAGCACGACCATGATGACAAACAACACGACCATGATGACAAACAACACGACCATGATGACACACAACATGACCACAGCGCCGATCAACATGACGGCAGCACCAACAATTACCAACACCACAGTGGGGGCTCTTGAGGTGAGTGAAGTCAAAAAAACGACTTAAACATCAATGACTCGTGGCTAAAGCGCTTTTTTAACCTTGCTTTGCATAAACATTGAAACTTATTTAATAAAGATCAACTGGCCCGACAGCAACCAACACACAGCAGAAGCACAGACAGGTGCATCTGGCACACCAGCACATTATCATATTCAGTCCGGGTTTGAACAATATGTTCAAATTTGAAGCTGCTGAGACAAACTTAGCAGGTATCAGATACCGGATGATAAAGATGCAACATATGCTACATTACTGTGTCCTGGTTTCCAAGACATATCAGAGTAAAGTCGAAGTACATTATCGGAAATGTAGCTTACTCATTTCTTAGAATTCTTAGCCTGCAAAATAAAATTAAGATGCAATTCAGACAATGGCTGAGAATCTAAGTGAGGGGAGTGACAATGAAGCAGATGACGGCAGTGTTTCATTGATGAAAACAACGATGAAATTAACAATGAAGGTTCAGATCGAAATAATGTTCCCGCTGACCAAGGCTCAGTGAGTGAGAGATGTGCTTGAGGAGGAGGGGGAGGAGAAAGGATCTCTGCGGGTTTGTCAGCTTTAAAGATTTTTTTTTTTTTTAAATGTTCCTGAAAAGGCGATGATTTATAATGAAATCCAAAGATTCAAGCTTTCAAGTGTTTTCATGTCATGTCTCTATTTACTTCAGGCTGAGAAACTAAAGTGTTTTAAGAGGGTGCACAACCTGATACTGTCACATGACAAACTAATATAATAAGGGATTTGAACACTAGATTCAAAACCATATCTATATATATATATATATATATACACAACTGTGACAAGGTAGATCTGCATTCTCTTTACATACAGTCTATGCTGGAATCAGATTTGACTTGACGGATACAGGTTATGATTTGTGCCTTAATAAGCTTCAAATCGATTTCTCAACGATTTCAAGTGCACATACTCCCACTCACATGTTTTTACTCTCCGTTGCAGGAACCTCTTAATAGGACAGGTTGTGGGACCAGACAGCTCTGTGGGTCTGAGCCCTCTGACTGTGACCCCTCATCATCATCGTCGTCGTGTTTCTTTTTGGGTGCAAAGCAGAAGGACGGTAACAACTTTGAGTTTGCCCTCTCAGGGGAGTCTTCTGGCTACATCGCTACCACGTTGTCATTTGATTCCACAGCGGTATGTCATTTCTATCGCTCGTTCACAGATTTAAGTTCCATCAAGTCTAAGACTGAACCAATTATGAAGTTTGTTTCGAGTCATCAGTGTAAAGAGGTACAATGTACTGTTTCTGGTTTTGCATCACAGGGAAATAACGACACAACCTACGTCTGCGCAAACAGCAATGGCAAAGTGTCTTTCATCAGCGCTCTCCTCAACAACAACGTGCTGCAGAATACAACTGTAAGTTCTACTTATCCTAAAAGCAATGGTGGAGCTGAGTGAGGATATAGTATGTCTACACTTCACCGGAATCTTCTTGTGGTTCTTGAGAAAATTAGATATTAGAACTATTTGTCAGTATAATATACTATATAGTATAGTTTAGTGTCTTTTGTGTATTTTTATTTATACTTATATCTTAATAAAGTTAATAAAACTGAAAAATGGGTTTGACCATTTTTTGGAACATGTTTATCACTATCAGATATTTTTGACTCCCAAAAATCCATATCAGTTGGGTTCTGGTTGCAATAGTTCAACGATGAAAACTCATTGTCTTCTTTGTCAACTGTTAAAATTATCTTTGCTCTGCAGCTGCCTGTGAACTCTGTGAAGGGCCGTGTCAATGGAAACAAAATCCAGTGCACGTTTATTGCCACTCTGCAAACCATCACGACTAGAGCAGTAGGCGCCACAGTGTCAATCTCCAATGGTTCTTTCAACCCTGGTAAGCTAACACATTGAAGATATTGACATTTTCACAAACAGTCAACTAAGAGCAACTCTCCCAGAGACTATACCACATAATATATTCGTATATTCCCCATGTTGTGATCATCCATCACTGACCTGTCTGTCTTTTGCTTGTTCGCTCAGCTAATGGTGATCTGGGAGACCCCCAAAACCAATTTCAGAGCAAAGTTCCCAACCTGGGCAATGTTAGTTCTGTCCTCACTAATGAGCTTTCCAGCACGACCAGCAGCCCCACAACCACTGATCACGCCATCACATTCCAGCAATCACTGATGCAAGGTAAGAATAATTGTTGACACGGGTGTCTGTATGTGTAGAATCTAGATAAAGCCATGTTTGTGCAGTGACTAAAAACTGTTTTTCTCTTCTCCCATCCCCACCTTTAGTTCTGCTGATCTCTATGGGCGTATTCACTCTGGCCATGGTATGAAGACCTCCATGATTCAAGACAAAAAAAAACATACCTTCCCTAATCATGTTTTGAATACACTGTATATACACTACTCAATCTAAAAATTGCATTTACTGTAGACAGTACATCCCAAATTATCAGGGATCATGCTGAATTTAAAATCAACTCACTGGAGGTGAAAGTAGGAGTGATGGAGGGTGGTCAGTCTTCTGACTTTCAGGTGTGTTCTAGAATCTGAAAGAAATGAGAGAATACATGTTAGAGTTCTTAATTTAAGGTTATGTGTCATCTATTTTGTCTGGGAATCATAGGACCGCAGGATTTCTGTCCAATACTAAATATCAGGCAAAGACAGAGCCCACATGTCCAGTACCTTTATTATTTAACTTTCATTTAATTGAGCTTTCACCAGGCGTTACTGTGACTTGGTAACTCCCCAACAACTTCTGTGGGTTGTAAATGTTTTGTTTCTTTATCAATGTTGCTCTCGATCTTCGTCACACACTATGATGCTAGGAAATGGCAGAAATATGCTTTTGTGTAACCTTCTACTGTAAATGTGTGTACTTTGCATGACACAATGATGTCTTGAAAATGAAGCCTTCGGTGGCTGATACTTGTGGGTGTGCCTGCGCGTGTGCAATAGCGAATACAAATGAGCCATTGCACATTCTGAAAGCTTGATACGATATGAAACACTGTTGAAAATAATTTTGCACATTGCATTATGTAACGAAGAAGTTTTTACTAAAGATTTTCATTAAAAGTTTTATTTAAACCCAGGTCTGATTGTGTCGATGTGATTTAAATGTCTATGACATGTGTTTCAGAATCAGCGCAGGTGTAAACAGTGACCTGAGTCAGTACCAGTCATGCTAACTGGCGGCTAGCCTGAAATCACTCAGGTGCGTTAGCAAACACAACACAGCAGCTAACAGTAGCTACGGTTAGCGGCTAACGATACGTTTGCATGAAGCTACGATAGCCCAGAGCGATGCTAGGAGCTAACACAGCGAGTTAGCACGGGTTCGGTTGTTTACAGCTCGAGAGACCCTGAGCGGGTAAAAGTTTGTTGACGTCAAAGTTCGCACGTTTCTCACGTAACGTTGACGAGATCGTCCCTTTCGCTACGTAACTTCCTGACGTACGCCTTAAACGTTGTTTCAACAGAGAATCGCAAAAAACAAACACGTCTTCGCGCACTTACCGGAGCTTTTCCGCACATTTTCCGGGAAACTGCGCACGAATCCAACTTTCAAAGACAAATCCCGCGAGCGACACCGCGCGAGGAGGTTCTCCTCCGAGCCAAGATGGCGACCGGAAGTGACATCACAACAAAACAATGCGCAAGGTGTCACATCGTATTACAGAAACTGTGTACTGCTAGTACTTTTAAATAACAATTCATAGAGTATTATTACATAAACTGTGTACTGCTAGTACTTTTAAATAAGAATTCATAGAGTCATATTATTACAGAAACTGTGTACTGCTAGTACTTTTAAATAACAATTCATAGAGTATTATTACATAAACTGTGTACTGCTAGTACTTTTAAATAACAATTCATAGAG